AAAGCATGGTTTTACTCATACCAATGAGGGCATGACCTGACGTTATGGTCAAAAATTAACCTTGAGAGTCTGCATCAGCTGGTCTTCACCTGTGCAGAATCCCATGATTTCACACCACTGTACTTGAACATTGTCATGTTTAACATGCAAAGTTCATTCTTTATAAACTGGGCAGTTCTTCATGAATGTGCCATTTAAAACTTGTTTTTGATTGGTTTTTAAATCTTTTATTCTATTAAGTAATTTTAATTATTTATTTGTTGTTCATGCTTTCTATTAGAAAATATATTTCAAATAATATTTCAAATAATAAAGAACTGAAAATGTTAGCCAATTAATATTTATCTGGGATGTTCACATTTAATTTGACTCTTTTTAAGTGCTAAATAAACAAATATTTCATGAGATAGTTCACCTAAAAATGTAAATGCTGTCATTTACCATCATGTTGTTACACCTTCAACTTTTTTTCTTCTGTGGAACACAAAAGAATATATTTTCAGAAGTGTTTTGAGAAGTGTTTTGTTTTATTGTACTGCCTACAGTGGAAGCCAATGGTCACCAAAATGGTTAATAATTTTGTTTGGCAAAAGCTTCTTATTCAAAAATTTCTCTGCAAAAACACCTTTTGTCTAAAAAAAAAAAAATATATATATATATATATATTTCAGTAATTTGATTAGAGGTCACATGCAAAACATGATTCTGGAATGCTAAACTATTGCTGATAAGCAAATGCTAATGCGTCTTTACTTAAACAGTTTTCTTCTTTGGTGAAATAATGGAAATGAAACATGAAATACATCCATCCTATGCAATGCAATGCTGTATGCAACAGGTTGAGATAACAGATGAGCAGGTGACACCTTTACATACTGCATGGGTCATTCTAAAAAATTTCTAAAAGCAAAAGCAGCTTTTTTTTTTTTTTTTTACATAAAAGCATCTTGCCATTTTTACTAATCATAAAGCATAACTTTACAGTTGTTTTTATTTTATTGTTTATTTATTTTAATCACTATTAATAGTTTACAAAATATGAATGCTCAAAATGTCAATAGCATGTTAAACACACATCACTGATGCAATACAAATCCTTCACATGAACACTACACTTTGTACCGTATGTAAAGGTAAATTAATACTAATACTAGTGTTCAACATTTGGAACACAAATGATATGAAAAAAGGGACAAGTATTCTAAATATTTAATCATTTAATACATAATTATCTTATTACTCATTCATTCATTCAATTTGTATTGTTTTATTTCTTAACCTGGGAAAACAAAATAAGTAACATTAGAAAAATAATAATCACAATAATATATAGGGGATAAATATATTATATTTATCTAAGAATAATAATCTTATAATAGAAGGGGATAAACGTGACAAGGTTTTTTTTAAGCATCAGGCAGATTTAAATTGTAATTCTTATTTAATCATATGTTTAATCACATAATCTTGTCCATAAGTGAAAAGTCAAAGTAAACGTGTCAGCAAATTTCAAGAATGACTCATGCATGTTGCAATATATGTAAACATATGAGAAGGTCAGCTATATAAACCCCCAAGAGTTGGTGAGGGAGCCCGATACAAAAATGGCTTTCATCTGGATTCTGTCGTGCCTTGCTTTCATTGGAACAGCCTATGGTATGTTGAGTTTTTTTCCCCCACAAGTATGTACTTGGCTGTTACATACCAGCCAAGGGCAGAAGAACACGCTTAGATTTATATGAAAATTTCAACAAATATATATATATATATATATATATATATATATATATATATAACCTCCTGACTCGCAGTGTGGAGTGAAAAAGGACCATGAAGCATATTTGAAACGCTTTAAGTCTCCAGCTCTTGTGTATTGTTGAGGAATAAGTTTGAAGTTCTTGAGCCTCACTTTTAATACTCTCATAGTCTGCGTGTCCTCTTGAGTGTTGCTGCTTCCCTTGTTATGCTCTCCCAGAATCACACGGTGACTAGTTCTGCAGATAAACCACAGAGGTTAATAAATCCACGTCTATCCCAGCATTCATGCATAAATAACATGATGATTTAACTGTCTCACCTCACACTGCAGTGAGCAGCAGTCACAGCCCAGTACTCATTAATCAGAGAGCCACCGCAGAAGTGGAAGCCAGTGAAGTCCTGTCATTTAAACAACAAAGAAAGAAATGATACTTTGTGTAAGCTGTGAACTAATTTCCAGGGATTGCAATAGAAATCTAAAAAAGTCGATTGAAGTTTTGCTAGCTGGAACTAACACAGTACCTGCAGAGAGATCTGCCAGGGCCAGGAGTGAGGCACTGCCTCCTCACCGTTCACAATGCGGGCATAGCCACTGACAACAGGAGGAATGGCAGGTATGCCACAGCCTGAAGAAAAGCGGTGCAAAGGGATTAACAGATGCAAGAAGACTGTAAATAATTAAATTTGATAGTAGAATTGATCAGGGCCAAATGTTTTTTTTTGTAAAATCAGGGCCAAATGTTTTTGTAAATGCAAAGCATATTTTTAACATAGGATGGTGACTAGCAATACTGATCTTTTCAGCAACTGTGACTATGACCTTTGAAAAACAGAGGTTTAAAATAATAAAAAAAAACACTTCCTCACCATAGGCTGCACTAAAGAAGGCAACGCAGGACAGCAGCCACAGGAAAGACATTGTGCAGAAGACACAGATTTACTGACAGCAGAAAGTCCTATTTAACACCAAAGCATGGTTTTACTCATACCAATGAGGGCATGACCTGACGTTATGGTCAAAAATTAACCTTGAGAGTCTGCATCAGCTGGTCTTCACCTGTGCAGAATCCCATGATTTCACACCACTGTACTTGAACATTGTCATGTTTAACATGCAAAGTTCATTCTTTATAAACTGGGCAGTTCTTCATGAATGTGCCATTTAAAACTTGTTTTTGATTGGTTTTTAAATCTTTTATTCTATTAAGTAATTTTAATTATTTATTTGTTGTTCATGCTTTCTATTAGAAAATATATTTCAAATAATATTTCAAATAATAAAGAACTGAAAATGTTAGCCAATTAATATTTATCTGGGATGTTCACATTTAATTTGACTCTTTTTAAGTGCTAAATAAACAAATATTTCATGAGATAGTTCACCTAAAAATGTAAATGCTGTCATTTACCATCATGTTGTTACACCTTCAACTTTTTTTCTTCTGTGGAACACAAAAGAATATATTTTCAGAAGTGTTTTGAGAAGTGTTTTGTTTTATTGTACTGCCTACAGTGGAAGCCAATGGTCACCAAAATGGTTAATAATTTTGTTTGGCAAAAGCTTCTTATTCAAAAATTTCTCTGCAAAAACACCTTTT